GTTGCCATCTGCCTTCCAGTCCACTGTCACGGCTCCCGGGTAGAAGTCACTTATGAGGCACACCAATGTGGCCTTGTTGGCTTGGAGCTCCTCAGGGGAGGGCGGGAACACAGTGACCGTGGGGGTGGCCTTGGGCTGACCTGGGAGAGGGACAAAGGGCAGAAGGTCAGAGTCCTGGTGTCCACCTGGGGAGTCCCTGACCTCAGTGCATGAGGATGGGTCTGGCTCCGCAGTGCCAGTGCAGGACCGCTCAGATGTGGCCCAAACTGTCTCAGAACGTATCACTCAGAAGGGTGTGACATGAGATTCCTAAAACAAGTCTGTCAGTCAGAAAACCTCTCAGCGTGGCTCCTGCCCATCACCTGTTTGGAAACCTTCCTACGCTTTCCTGGGCTTTTGTACAGACAGCGGACCTTCAACTGCCTGCCCCTGCCTCACCCTGTCATCCTGACACGGTCTGGCTCTGGGCCCTGGCTGTGTTCTCTGAGCTCTGTGAACCTCCTGTCGGTTTCACTCTAGAAACTTCTCACTGGGCACAGCTGCTCTGGGTTGGAGGAGAGTGGGTCTCACCTAAGGACTCTGTTTCTACCCACATCTGTCTCTCCTGAGCCTCTGCAGTGGGGTCAGGGCCTTGCTCACCCAAGTCCCACTGTCTGTATGTCCTGGTTTCTCTGTCTGTGGAGTCCGTGCTAGAGTCTGTCTGTGTTAGGGCCAATCTACAGTTTCCTCCTTTGGCATGCAGAGAGTGCCCTCTCCCTCCAGGGAGAAGCTGTATTCCTAGAATGCAGTATCCTGGAAACCTTCCCACGAACTAGCCCTGACTCCAGGAGTCTCAGCCCACCTTCCGGGCGCTTGTCTTAGTTGGGATGGGCCTGGCCAGCGAGGCCTGGCTTGGTGAAATCAGGGGTTCCTGCTTCTAGGGGTGCTTCCCACAGAGAGCCAACAGTCACCTCCCCGCACGCCATGGCCTTCTGTGACCCTCACGTGGCTCTTTCAAGTCCAGAGCCTTCCCCTCCCTCCTGACTGGGCTTCATGGGTCCCAGGCCAGCTCAGGGCTCTCTCCTTGGGAGCCCACAGAAACCTGGAGAGGCCCCTGCACCTCCTACCTTGTTCCCAGCCTGGATTCGGAGTCCCACAGCCCAGGGGACTGGGCCCTGAGACTCTGATTTTTCATTCCCCAATCTTGGCTTTGAGGGTTTTGTGTCCTTCTAAAGTCTCCCAGGTGGTCACTCCTTCAAGCCCCTTGTTCCCTCTCCCCTGTGAGATGGGCCACAGCTTCCCCTGCACAAAGCTTTCTAGGCAGATGGAAGCCCAGGCAGGAGAGGACAGAACTGAGCATGTTTTAGGGAAGCAGCCTGGCCCTGGCTGACACACAGACAGACAGACAGACAGATGAGTCTCAGAAGGTCATCCAGTCTAGCGCCCTACCTCTGCGGTCAGAGGTGAAGGGGTCTTGGTGACCCACTGAGGCAGGCAAGCATCTGAACAGGGAGGGGAGAGGTCCTTGCTAGGACTTGGGCTCCAGAGAGAAAGCTTCACCACAGGCCAACACAAGATCAGAAAAGAACAAAAACAGCAGAAAATTGCCCAGTACCTTGGGGAGAGCAGGGAAGGAGAGGGGAGAAGAGACTCACCTAGGACGGTCAGCTTGGTCCCTCCGCCGAACACCCAACACTGTGACACAGGCTCATACAAAAACTCTCCCTGGGACGCCCCCACTCCCAGCCCCCACTGCAGCTGTGATAGAGGAAGCTGGGGGCCACTGCCCCTGGTGGCATCTGCTCGTGAGGGAGTTCACACGGCCCCACCCTCACCCCCACAGAGAGAAGGGAACAGGTGATATCTTGTGACCAGCAGCAGGATCCCTAGAAATCCTGGTTCCTGGAGGACGCTGGCATTTTGGATTTGGTTTTCCCACCAACTATCATGCAATCACGGGAATGATTTTATTGGAGGGCATTGTGTCACTAGGAGTGAATTTCCATAGTCAGGGATAAATGGTCTCCCTAGTGGAGCTGACTCAATACTGACTTCACCCCCTGGGGTGAAGCAGAGAGTGCCGTCTCCCTCCAGGGAGAAGCTGGTTATCCTAGAGTGCAGTGTCCTGGGAACCTTCCCATGAACCTAGCTCTGACTCCAGGAGTCCCAGCCCCGCCTTCCCTGGGCTTGTCCTAGTTGGGATGGGCCAGGCCAGTGAGACCTGGCTGGTCCCCATTGAAAATGCCAGCTCCATCCTGCAGGGTAAAATGGAAGGATCTCCTGCACTCCTCAACCTGGTCTCATGTTGGTGGGCCAGGTGGGGTAGTGGCTGCCATTGCCTTATTCAAATGTGGGGGACGTAAGGGAGCTCCTGAATGTGGTCTCCAGATATCACCTTCTGCTCAGGGAAGTGAAGTCAGTGGGAGATCCCAGACCTGGGGCAGGAAAGGGACATGATGAGACAGAACCTCTCATCTTCCTAGAAATCAGGAGCCATGGAAGCTCCTGAGTCAATGGGAGAAAACCAGATGCCACCTGAAGAGGCGCCTAGGGGTACATGTCCATGTTTTGTCGCCACATTGTCACTGGCAATTCAATATAACTGCAGTGGATCCCACATGTCAGGTGTCCTCACCTGCTAGAGCTCACTCTGGCACTACATCCCCGGAGGATGGCTGGGCACCAGATCGTCAGTTATCAAAGTGGTGAACAAAAGGGAGGAATTTACATTTCTTCTTTTTCCCAAAGCATGAAGCCCACTCCTGGGTGCATAGGGCAGCTGCTGCACCCTCCCTTCATGGACATGCTGCAGTGCTCACAAGAAGGAGGTGAATTGAAGCCTCAACCCTCTGCCTTCCTTCTCATCTGGGGCTCGAAGTTACTGATTATCAAATGCAACCAATTGACCCTCTACCTTCCTTTTCATCTGAAGGTGTAAAGTTATTGATCATCAAATGCAACCAATCGATGCTCCACCTTCTTTTTCATCTGAGGCGTGAAGTTATTGATCATCAAATGCAACTAATGGACCCTCCGTCTTTTTTCTCATCTGAGGCACGAAGTTATTGATTATCAAGCAACCAATGACACTAAAAGAATGACAACACAACATGGGTGGCTTTGCTGGAAGTAGCCACATGTCCTGGGATGGGATTATGCCAGTGTCCAGCTTGAACCCCACTGAGCCTCTTGATGCTAGAACCATTTGTCAGGAAAAGAGAGGTTGAGGGAATCACTGGGTTTCTGCTCAGGGTCACAGTGGCTGCATTCCGACTCTGGGAGGTCCCGGGACCAGCTCTCAGCTCCTGCAGCTTCGGCCTTGCCTGGGAAATCCAGAGCCATTTGGGAGACAGCTGCAGATGGAATGGACCTAAAAACACCTTCACTAATGATAACGTCAAGTATTTCAAGTATTTAATCCACTTAGAAACTACATTAAAACCCACAAATATGCGACAGCACCAGAAAGTCAGCTAAAAATATACACAATGATATTCACAAGACATTGGATGAGACCCTCATTAACTATGATGTCGAGAAATCCTTGATTCCCTCCATTTAAGTGTGCAATGACTTTGGCACTTGCTTCACATCATTGCCCAAGGGAGTAGTTTAGTTATCCTGCTGTGAGTGGGGTCAACTGTGCCATCTCAGCTGGAGAAGGTCAGGCAGGCGTGTGGACTCTGCTGAGGAAATGCCCACCAGGGGCAGTGGCCCGGCTTCCTGCATCACAGCTGCAAGTGGGGGATGTGACCACAACCACAACTCGGGGGGTCTCGCTTCCATCCTCCCGGTGTTGTCTTAGTTTGGGCTGGGTCTTGCCAGGTTCTAGTAAGAAATGCCAGCCTCAACTTCCAGGAAGTTGGATGCAAGCCCCTGTCATCCTTTCAGGGTCTTGTCTCATTTTTGGGTGTGTCTGGAGTGTCTGACATAAAAGGGCTGTGTGAGTAGCACCCCAGTGTGATCGATAAATCCCACCTCCCACTTCCAGGGACCAGTCTACTCGGGGTTAATGGGCAATTCCAGGCAAAAGGCAGGAGAAAGATGTGCCCAGGATAGATTGTGAACAGAGAGCAGAAAGCCATCGAGGTCCACTGGGTTCTTTCAGGAGAATTCTGAGTCCACCAGAAGAGGCACCCAATGGGCCACGGTGGGTCATTGTCATCGTCAATAAAATAGAACCGTGGTGGACTCAAATGTGTCACATACAGTGACATAACTTTGAGCTCACCATGATACCAAATAATTGTTCATCTTCAGAAGATGGCAGGCAACACGGTCATCATTATTAAGATGCTAAATGAAAGGAAAGACTCAACATGTCTATGCTATTTCTTACTGAAATAAGAATCACACTCCTAGAGAAGCACAGAACATATGAGGGCAGGGCTTTACAGACACTCAGTAGAAGGAAAAGGTGGTCGAACTGAAGTGCAGTCACCTTGCATCCGTATACCATCTAACAGCACTGGACACTAAGTGTGAAGCCCATGTGATGTCACAAATAGGTGACCCCACATGGGAGCCCACTAGCCAAGTGGTCTTGCTGAAAAGTCACACTGAACCTTGTTAAACCTTTCTGTCCAAGAACCCATTTTCAGGAAATGCAGAAGCAGGGAGAAGCGCTTGGTTCCAGCTTGGGGAGGCTGCGGACTGCATCCTGACCATGGGAAGGTCCTGGGACCGGCCCTCAGCTCCTGCAGCTCCTGCCTTGCAAGGAAATTAGAAATCAATTAGGAAGACACTTGCAGATGGAACAGGTCTAAAAACATAGTCACCAGTCACAATTTCAAACCGTATTGAATCCGCATAGAAATGAAATGCAAAATCACAAAATACCAATAACAACACAGGTCTAGTGAAAGAAGCATAGGACATTTGTGAAGCATTTGATGGGAAACTTCTTTTTGATATGAAAGAATTATTGATAATTTCTATTTAGGTTTGTAAGGACGTAGTTTTTTTTTTTTTTTTTGGTCCATATTTTTAGAGACACAAATGGAATATTTAGACTAACGGACATGATGTCTGCAATTTGCTTCAGACAACTATGTAAAAGAGAAGTTACTTGATTTTGGGTGGGTCAACATTAGCTGTATTATCCTCCCGTTTGCTTTTCTTGCTGTCAGTTTCCTGTAATATTTTACAAGGCAGTAATGAGAGGGCTTAGTCTTGGGACAGCAGAGGAAAGTCTGGCATCCTACCCTACAGGGCCATTGAGAGGGTGGAGACCAACATGGTCCTCTTTGCTGTAGGGGTCTCAGCTTTCACATCCATGAAATGGGGCCAGACGGGGTGGTGGGAATCAGGACCCTTAAGTTTCCTTCTAACTTGTAGGTTGTGATTTGGGGAAGGGGTGGCTGTGATTAAGCTCCAAGAGGACCCCATTCTCTGCCCCACTATGGCCCTAGAGTTTCCTGTCCTTGCAGGCTCTGTCTCAAGCCTGGCCACCCAGCAGCTCTGATGAAGGCACCTGTCACATCTCTGATGTCCTGGAGGCACCAAGAAGGGGCCTGACAGCACCCAGCACTGATGAGGAGGGCTTCGAAGTGAGTCTCCCAAGGCCACCTCACCCGTTGTCAGGGACCCTGGGACAATTGTGTCTCTGACCTCGGGCTATAAGGGCAGATGTTGGGGCTGAGCCATGTAAGGGAGGGAGGGAGTAGGGCCTGGTGGGGTGGGGTCTAGGGTAGCTGAGTCCCATGAAAGCCTGACTTGCCTGTAGCCCTCAAGTCACACTCACCCTGCCGTGACCTAGTGTGACTTGGCCCTGATTCTTGGGTGGATACGATTTTGACACAGCCTCCATCAGACTATCAATGGATGCCCATTCTGTGCTGGGGATGGTGTCTTCCTCATTCAACCCAGTCCACCTAAGTCTGACCCTCATACAGGCTGGCTATCATGGCTCCAGCCATAACCATAATCTAACTCTACCATATCCCCTGACTTTAGAACTTGAGACTTCACAGTTGCAATCTCAGCCCCTTGCTCTCTTTCTGGCCTGGCCAGTGTCAACCCTGAGCCTGACTCATTTGATCACAACAAATCACCTGTGTGCCTCAGCCTTACCCCACGTCCCAGCGCTAGTGACATGAACACCAGGGGCTTGAAGAGCACTCTAGGGCTCTCTAAGTTGGTTGGGACCGTGAACAGAATTCTTGACTTGTAAGGTTATATAAAATTGTTTTCCCACTGCAGGACTTGTCAGTGCCTTTCATAACTAATGTGCCTTATGAAAGTGAAAACTACACTGAAGTTTTCCATTTTCCAGCCTTTTCATGCCTCCCTCATGATGGCACAACCATGGGCCCCTCACCTAGTAAATGGTCTCCTAACTGCATATCATGGATGGGACAGGGAAGTTCAACCCTGTTCCTGCTCTGGTCATGGCCTGGGCTCAAGGGTGTTCTGCCTCTAGCCCACAGAAGGGCCCCTGGAACACTCCTCGTTTCTCCCCGATACCCCGCTCAGGGACACCACTCTGTCCTCACTAGGCTCCACATCCTTCGCAGGTGGGCAAGGACTGCATTTGAGGGACCACTCTGCAGGGACAACTTTCTGCTCTGGATCATGGTTCCCACCAACACAGGGAGCTCACCCGTTCCCTGGCAGGTTGGGTGGGGCGTGGGATGACGGGGACATGGGACCTTACCTGGAACTATCCCTGCCCCTCAGCAGCGACCCTTCAGCACAGGCACATGACCAGACACAGACGGCATATTGGAAACCCTGGGTTTTACACGGTCGGGTCCTTATTGAGAAGTAGAATTTTGAGGGTGTTGCACTGGTCTGAGCTGATGCCAGGCTGGTGGCTCAGGGGTACAGCAGAGAGTTGGGGAAGGGGTGACTGGGTGAGATAGGACCCTCCAGAGAGATGCCTCAGAGAGGCTGTGAGTCTCCTCCCTTGGGTGACTTTCCCACTGGATGCAGAATTCCATCCGCCCCAGAGAACCCAGGAAAGGTTAGGAATTACATGTAAGAAAAGGAAAACTAAGATAAAACAAGATGTCTGGTTGACAATCAGAATATTTATTGAGGGCTTATTGGGTGCAGGGAGAAGGGCTGGATGTCTGGGGATTGGGGGGAGACACCTCTCCCCTGGGAACGTGCAGCTCCAGGCCCCGTGGGTGGGGTGAGGGTTGGGGCCTAAGAACATCCTTCAGTGGCCACTGTCTTCTCCACGGTTTTCCCTTCGTGCGTGACGTGGCAGCTGTAGCTGCTGCGGGACCTCCACTGCTGCGGCGTCAGGCTCAGGTAGCTGCTGGCTGTGTACTTGTTGTTGCTCTGTTTGAAGGGTGTGGTGGTCTTTGGCCTTGTACCCAGCAGGGTGGTACATGTGCCGTTAGGCTGGTTGTCACTGGTGAATATCTCCTAAATTGCTCTAGTGCTTCCTGGCAAGGCAGAAGGAGCTGCAGGAGCGGAGAGCTGGCTGGGCACCTTCCCCCGGTTGGAATACGGCCACGCCTCCTGGAGCAGGAACCTAGGGCTTCCCTTGGCTTTTATTTTCCTGGAAAACGATTCTAGCATGGAGGGGACTAACCGGATTCAGATTGAACATTGCAGAATAGCTTCCAAGGACCTGGGGCTACTTTCAGCAAAGCCACACATGACAGATTGCCACTCTTGTAGTAATGTTAGCTGCATACGATGGACAATAGCTGCAAGGAAGGCCGAGGGTTGAGGCTTCAGTTCGCCTCCTTCTCATGAGCGCTGCAGTGTGTCTGTAAAGTCAGAACCCTGCAGCTGGGCTCCATTCACCCAGGAGTGTGCTTCATGCTTTAGGAAGGAGCCGCTTTGCACACAGATGATCCAGGGCCCAGCCATCAATCCAGGGTGAATAATTCAAGTGTATTCTCACTCTGAACTCTAGGATTCAAGCCATCTAATGTTTTTGAAGCCACTGTCATTGTATTTAATTGGTGATGACAGGTGGTCACCAGTGATGAATATTTTCCCAATGGGAATCTCCTAAAGGGGCATCAGATTTCCTCGCATGGCTCCAGGGAATTAAATGGCTCCTGATTAGTCAGAGGATAAGAGATCTGTCTTATGATGTCTTTTTCTTTTTTGTCTTATGTGTCTTTCCTGCCCCAGGCGTGGAATTCCCCACTGATCTCCCTTCCCTTAGTGAGACGTAGTATTTGGAGACCATACTCCGGAGGCTCCCTCATGTCCCCCATCTGAAAAAGACAATGACAGCCACCACCCCAGCTGTCCCAACCAACATGAGACCAAATTCAGGGGTGCAGGGGATGCTCCCAAGGTTACCCTCGCAGATGTGCCTGGCATTTCGTATCGGGACCAGCCAGGCCTCATTGACCAGGCCCATCCCAGATAGAACTACTCCAGAAGGTAGGGCTGATATCCCCAAGGTTCCTAGAACACTGCACTCTAGGGCCACCAGCCTCAGCCTCTGCCTGGTAGGAGAGGGGCACCCTCTGCATCACCCCATGGTGTTACCAAAAGTTGAATGGTTGGTTCAATTTTGCAGAGAAGAAACCACCTATCCCAATCATCTGTGGAATTTCACTCCTTAGTGGCACTGATGCCCTCCAGTAAATTCAACCCTGTGCCTGCATGATGGTGCAAAAAACAAATCCAAGATCCCAATGTCCTCCGGAAGCCTGGACTCCCAGGGATCCTGCTATGGGTCACAGGATGTCACCGGTCCTCTTCTCTCTGTGGGTTGAGTGTGGGGGCTGTGTGGACTCCCTAATGAGCAGATGCCACCAGGGGCAGTGGCCCCAGCTTCCTTTTTCACAGCTCTAATGGGGGTTCGGGATTAGGCTCCAGGTGAACCCTAGCATGGGGCTGGAGGTCAAGCAGGAAGGGTGTGGACCGCTAAATCAGGCCCAGGTAAAGTTAGTTTCTGGTTGGTTTGTGGATGGATCTTGATGATGGTCAGTCTGCAGGAGCAAGAGGACATGGGGAAATTGGGAAAATGAGAAAAGTCACCAATCCAAGGTCAAACTCTGCATCTATTGATTGCCTGGGGCAGGCTGTATCAGAGTTGAATTCAGGATGAGCTTCAGGGCCAGGTCAGACTGGAGAAGAGCTGAGGGAATGTGGGCTGACAGCTCTAGGCAAGGGCTGGCCTCCACTAGGAGTCAGATCCCACAAACCCTCCTGCCCACTGAGCACCCTCTCCCTCCCTAGCCCGTGGTGGTGCAGCCTCCCCACCCCATCCCATGTACACCTGCTGCCTCATCTCAGAGACACTCATCCCAGTGTCTCCGACAGCAGATAATGTCAGCCTCCTGGGTGTGGCAGCCCTAGCCGTCTTGGTCAGTCCTCAGTGCCTGGGTACTCTCAGACCCCCTGTCTCTGCCTCCAGCACATCAGGGATGTGGTTGCTGCCTTCAACAGAGCTGCTGGGTGATCCTGATAGGCCAGGGACAGAGCCTGCAAAGGCGGGAAGCTCTGCGGTCACCATGAGGCAGAGAAAGGGCCACTTGGTGCTTGATCACAGCCACCCCTGACTCAAATCCCAGCTTCTGAATTAGAAGAAGGCTAAGGATTCTAGTGGCCACAGTCCCTGTCTTATTTCACGAATGAGAAAACTGAGACCACCCAGGGAGGACCAGATCCATAGCCCTGCTGGGTACAAGGCCAAGGTGGCCTCCACATCCTGGGTGGTGGGGGTGCCATGTGCCTTCCAGGTCACCATCACAGCGCCCGGGTAGAAGTCACTCGTGAGACACACCAGTGTGGCCTTGTTGTCTCCGAGCTCCTCAGTGGAGGGCGCGAACAGAGTGACTGAGGGGGCGGTCTTGGGCTGAGCTGTGTGGACAGAGAAGGGGGTGAGAGAGGGCAGACAGAACCCCAGGGTGTTGTGGAGCCCCTCTCTCTGTCTAAAGTCTCTGGGAGGGTTCACGGTATGACCATCTGGTCCACCTGGGGCCTCTCCTTCTCTCCTTTTCCCCATCCTTTCCACTTGTGCCCTGTGGAAAGCAGGCAGCCCTGAGCCTTCCTAGGAGCCCTTCCAAGTCACCTTTCCCAGGTGGCGCAGCTCCTCTCCTCTACAGCTCCCATTTCCTCATATACCCATGCCAGGCTCTGTTTCTTCGCCCTTGATCTCTGGAGTCTGAGTTTAGAATCTGGCCTTGACTCCCTGGATTTCTCATTCCCATCCCTAGACCCCCCCACCTCCCACTTAATTCTTCCAGGACTCAGAGCCCCCTCTGTGAACTGCAGGTCCCTTGCTCAGCCTGTAGAACTGTCCTGGCAGGCAGCGTGTGGGGAGACCTGAGCCTGCTTTGAACTGGAGCCTCCTATCCCCACAGGCACCAGGCTCTGCCCCAACCCAGCCCACTCAGCTCTCCTGGCAGAGGGTGGGCTCCACCTAGAAAAGCCTCTCAGCTCCTCTGAGGCTCTGGGGAGTCTCCTTTCTCTGCAAGCCCAGCCACAGAATGCTTCACCTCAGCTGTGTTCTTGAGGCTTTTCCCTTAGACTATGAGACTCAGCAGCCCCCATGCCCACCCCAGCAATCTCTGATGACCCTGAACTTCTCCTGGTAGCCATGGAGTTCCCTCCACCCCTCATTCACTCCCATGTGAATGTTAGACTCATCTCCTGAGTCTAACACGCCCTTTGAGGAAGGCAGTAGTCTGATCCATGAACAGACACCAGGCCCCAGAGGTGACGGGGCTCCAGGGACACACACATCTCTGCCTTAAGAGATCTTCTCCTTTCTAATGACTGTCCTGGGAGGGCTGGGCTCTGGGACCTCACCCAGTCTCATCCATCCCTCTGTGTCCCAGTGTCCTCATGACCCAGCACAGGCCAGAGAGCTGCAGCCTGGACCCAGAGCCCTCTCTGTGCCCTTCATTGGTCTTCCCTTGGGGTGACCTCTGTGTCCCCAGGCCCCTCTGTGGCCTTCACAGGCTGGATGGGCATCCAGCCCTTAGCCTAGACCCTGGGGTCCCAGGGACTGTCTCTAAGGCCACTTCAGGGCCCTTATTAGAACCGACCTCTGTCCCTCACTCAGACCTCTGGCCTGGAAGAGGGGAAGGAGCCTGACCCTGCCTAATCCCAGCCCAGGCCCTGTGACCAGGCTGCATCCCGCTGTTGGAAACTGATGGCAGCTGCTCCCACTGTGGGGCCCTTCCTGCCGGTTACCCCAAGAGTAACGCACATCCTCCAGTCCCCATGGAGAAAGGTAGGGGTCAGTGCTTAAGGCTGGGAAGGCAGTGGGGAGGAAGCCCCAGAGAGAGCAAACAGATTTTCCAGAGACAGCAGAGGGTGAGACAGGCTGGGAAAGGTTGAGAGCCACTTACCTAGGATGATGACCTGGGATGTTAGATCTAAAGATGTAACACAGTGACTGAGGCTCGGACCAAAACCCCCAAGGCCAGCACCTGGGGTCTGCTCCCTGGGGACTGGGCTGGAGAAGGAGCCTGCTGTGCATGACTGGCACAGGGTTGCAGTGGGCAGGCTAGGCATGAGTCAGGGGGGTGGCCAGCCCCCCAGAAGTGTCCCGTACCTATCCCCTCTCCAAGGCAATTGTCACCCACAGCCTTGGAGTCACCCCAGTGTGTGTCCTTCCTCTCTCAGGCTGTCGGTGCTGATGGCAATACTGGGACCAATAGGTCCCAGCAACTCCCTGAGTGACATATCCCCTCCTGTGCAGTGTGGCAGGGGAGTACTGAGTTGGCTTGGACCCGTTCAACCTCATCTGGCCTCATTTAAAGGGCCTCTGAGTTTTCCACACAAGTGTCCCCAGTCAAGCCAGGCTGGCTTTCTCTCTGGATTTAGAACACTGGGTCATTGCTGACTCAAGTGGTGATTCCTCTACTTTCCATCCATGGAGACACAGCTCAGTTCCACTTTGTGCATGAAGCTTTTTCTGATATCTCAGATTATTTTTTCCATCTACCTGTCCATCCAACTGTCCATCCAGCTGTTCATCTATTTATCTGTTTGTTCATCAATCTATCATCCATCTATCCATCCATCCATCCATCCATCCATGCATCTGTCCACTCATTCATCCAACAACAGTTCCCAAGCACCCATCTATGTCAGATACTGTTTTTATGCTGGGACATGGCAGGATGCCCTGGCTTTCAGCCTCATCTCTCCTTGAAATCTCTCCAGTTAAGCCCAAAAAGTCCCTTGTCTCAGTTTAGTCTGCAGTTCTTCCCCAGTCCCCTTATGTCTCTGCAAGAAGCTCTTCTTTCTAGCCACTGTCCCCTCCTTGGTGTCTGAGACTGCCCCCTCTCCTCCTTCTTGGCTTCCCTTTCTCCCAGGCCCATGCCCAGCTGCTGACTCCCAGATCTCTACCCTGGGTTTTGCTCTCTGTATTCTCCTCATTGTCTCTGCATCTGACTCTCATTGTGCACACTCACAACTGTGCAGGGGGTCTTAGATCCCTGTTTCCAGCCCTTATCTCTCTTTTAGGCTCCAGATTCATGTATATTCTGCCTCCTCAACCTATGTCTTCTTGGATGCCTTGTAGAAACCTCCAACTCAACAGATCCCAGCTAAACTCATTTCTCTATAACCTTGCTCCCCCACAAAGTCCTCACTTCAGCAAGTTACTCTTCAAGCCAGAGGCCTGAGGACATCCCAGAATGCCTTCCCCTCATTGTATTATCCTCTGTCCTAGACGTCCTAGCAAGATACTATTAACATCCTCCAGAGAAAAAGAAAAACACCCAGGTCACACTCTAAGAGTTTACGATGGCAAGAATCCTCAGGTTTTGCCAAATCTTGTTTTACTTCCCAAGGCAATTTGTTCACATTGGAAGATACCCATTGTGATAGGGCCAGCAAATTTCATCTTAGCAGCAGGTTGTATTTAATACATGTGTATTTAAGACATGTGCAGAAGATTTTTGAGACAGAATTTAATAGTAATATAAATTCAGCACTTGTTTATGGTATAAAGAAAGCAAACATCTAGACTTTTTTTTTAAGTTACTGAAGAAAACTTTCTTAACTCAATGAGGAACATATCCCCAAATTTACAGCAACATTTATATTTAAAGGCAAAACATTTAAAGAATCAGAAACAAGGCAAGGTTGTCTACTCTCACTTTTACTATTCAACATATTCTATAGATTCTAGTCAATGAAATATTAAAGGGATAGAGGAGGAGGTATAAATATTGAGGAAAAAGAAAGAAAATTGTTCTTGGCAAATGATGTGATAGTTGCCCACCCCCACCCCCCCACACACGGAGAATCAGCTGAAGAACTTCTGGAATTAATACAAGAGTTAAAGTGGCTGGATACAAGAGCAACATACAAAAGTTAATAGGGTTCCTTGCTATAGAAACAGTAATCATTCAGGATATAAAATTGGCAAAAAATTATAAATTCAATAAAATTGTATTCACAAACCCTTTATGAATAAAAACAAAGTGTGCAAGATTTGCATGAATAAAATATCAAAACACTTCTCTGAGTGAATGAAGAGTACATCATATCTCTGGACAAAAACGCTGAGCACTATAAAGATAGCAGTTCTCAAATTAATCCCATATTCTGTGATATTACAAACATAACACCAAAAGAATGATTTTTGAAAATTAGGGAACTGATTCTACAGTTCAACTCTAAGAATGACGGATGATAGACATGACTATTTTGAGAAAAAGTAACAATGATGGGTTCTTTTCCTACCAGATACTTAACATACTATAAAGCTAAAATAATCAAAACAGGGTGGACACAGGACTAGATCAATAGCAAGAGAACCACAGAAAGAATGTAATAAATCAGTAATGTAGTAGATGATAAAAGTTGCGTTTATATTCAACAAATGTGTGATGACTGGCTTTCCTATTTGAGAAATAAGGTTTTATTCCTACATCCACAAAAATAAACTCCAGGTGAAATAAAGAAAAAAAACACACAACAAAACACCAATACACTGAATGTACCAGAATAAAATAGAAAAGTGACGTTATAATATTGAAATAAAGACGACTTCCTACACATGGAGGGGTCACAGCAACCATAAAGAAAAGGTTAAACCAGTTCAACACATACAAATGTACAACATCTTTATGGTGGGAGGCCCCATAAACAAAAGACCCATAAAACAGACTAGGGAAAAATATTTACAATATGCATACTACACAAGTGGCTAAAATCCCAAATATATCCCAATATATAGATGCAAGCAACTGAATGGAAAAGCAGGCAACATGATAACCAGTTAATTCACAGAAGAAATACAATCAATCAATAAAAATATTAAAAATCTCACCAGTAATAAAATACACAATAAAACAATAAACACATTCATTTTTTTTGCTCATCAGATAGGCAGACAATAGAAAGATCAACAATATTGTGTCATTGACAAGAATGTAGGAGAGAAGGCACAACCATTCACTGGAATGAGTGGACACAGACTTGGAAGCATTACCTATAACATTTCAAAAGTGCAATCTCTCTGATCCAGCAATTCCACTTTTAGGCGTCTATCCTAGGGAGATACATGAATGCACTTTGTAGGCATACACACATGGATTTCCACTGCAGCATCATTTGTCATTTAGATTTTTTAGTGGAAATAACCTAGATGCCCATTAATAGGGGAATGATTAAATAAATTCTGGCTCATCTAAACTTTGCTTATAAAGCCATTTGAATGTGGTTAATCCGTATGGACTGATATAGAAAACGTCAGTAGTAGATTATTTTTAAAGTTGGTAATATGTGGAATATAGCTCTATTTTTCCAAAATAAAATCCCAACACCAATTCTGTATGTGTGTGTATATGTGTGTGTTTTCAGGGACGTACACACAGGAAAAAGTCTGGAAGTAATAGAACAACCTGACAGTGGCCATCTCTGGGAAGACGTGGGAGATGGTAAGCAGAAGCACTTGCTTTTACTTTATATACTTCTCTGTTTAATCTTTTTTTTTCTTTTGCAAGGCAAAAGAGTAATGTACAGAAGTCATTACATTTTGTAAAGTGCTCATTACAAAAAGAATAATGTACAAGAGTACATTACTTTTGTATTAAAAATTATATTAGAAGATAAAAATGAAATGTCCCTTTTTGTGAACAATTTCACAAAACCAGAAAATTATAAAGCCACAATGGAAATTAGGTGAAATCCCACCAGCCAGACAGACACACCATTGACATTTTCCTATATTTTCGGACAGATTTTTGAAAATGCATATATACTTTAAAAACACAATTGGGCCAGGTGCAGTGGCTCATGCCTGTAATTCCAGCACAGGGGAAGCTGAGGCGGAAGGATTGCTTGAGCCTAGAAATTTGAGATAAGCCTGAGCAACATAGCGAGGGTCTGTCTCTAAAAAATAATAATCCCACTAAAAATTAGCCAGGTGTAGTGGCCTGTAACTGTAGTCCCAGCTCTCAGGAGGCGGAGGCTGGAGGATCGTTTGAGCCCTGGAGGTTGAGGCTGCAGTGAGCTGTGGCTATCCCACTGCACTCCAGCCTGGGCAACAGAGCAAGGCTCTCTTTTGAAACAACAACAACAAAACAGCCCCAAATACAATTGTGTTTTTTTCACACCCTTTTTGATAGATGTGATATTTGGGTTACTTCCAGTTTTTTCCCATCATTCATAATGCTGAGCTAACCACCCTTGTTATAAACATTTGGTTACAGCTTTGATTATTCCCCCCTTAAGATAAATTCCTAGAAGTGGAATTGCCCAATTTAGATAAATACATTTTGTTGTTTTACTCACCACCTATTGCTAAAATAGTTATACCTTTTCAATGCCCATAGACAGTCCCAGAGAGTGCCTGTTCCCCTCTGCTCAGCCCTCACTTCAGCTTCATGCTCCTGTTTCATAAGAATCTGGGACCCTGGCTGCTCTGGACCTGTGCCTCCTCCCCAGCCCCAGGGCATGGCTCCTTCCAGGCTCCCCACCTACCCTGGACCTGGCTGTCACTCCCTCTCCTCCCTCCTCTAATCCGGCCTTGCATCAGCCTTCGATCTGGCGCCAATTGTTCCAAAAACACAAATCCAACCCTGATAATCAATCTCCTACCTAAATCTCTCCAAGGACTCGTCCTGGACACGGGGATGGGTCATGGACCCTATGGTCCATCCCCTTCCCAGTCACCCAGGAACTCCCAGCCTCACCCCTCGCTCTCTTCTCCTCTGGTGCTGCCCATCACTGTCCAGTGCCCCTTGATCTGTGAGACCAGCCTGGGCATCCCCCAACAGAGGGAGCTCCGCTCTCCCTTTATTGCTCCAAACATGGGCCATGCGCCTGTTCCAATGATTGGACAGTGCCCCTCGGTTCAGCCCACCCTCCCTGTGTCCCTGAGCCTGGCCCCAGTCAGCATTTATGAGCAAGTTGGTGAATGGAGGGCCTTAGGGGAGACCAAGCCAAGCCCTCACTGCCTTCTCCAGGGAGTGGCCCCTGCCCTCACTGGGCAGGAGGCACATGGGCAGAGAGGAGGAGGAGGAAGAGGGGGAGCAGGAACAGGCCTGGACACCCTGTGGGGACAGTGGCCGCCACCCCCTGTGGATGTCCTGCCCCTGCCTCTGTTCCTGCCCTACCCAGGGGACTAGGACTAGGTGATTGAGGCATTGACCCTGGTGCAAAATTTAAGTGGGGCCAGAACCCAGAAATCAAGAAAAATAATAGTTTAATATGATATTACAAACAGTAATTAATTCAAACAAATCTGTGATGGCCAAAATATCAACCTATTAGTTAAAGCCAGTGTCTCCCAGGACCCTCTTAGGGGTTAGCTTCCTTATCACGTCTCTGGCTTGTCTCCCCTTGGTCATCCTTTCCCAGCTTTGCCACAGGACCCCCATATCCCCTGGAATCTCTCGCCCCTTACCTGCCCCACAGCCTCCACAGGCTGGACCGGCTGCTTCCAACTGAGGCTGCAGGGTCTGGGACCCGGCTCTGCAGTGTAGCTGTTGGGCTCGGTAGGCCATAGGCGACCGTGGCCAGACCCAGCTGCAGCAGGGGCCAGCGCTGCCTGGGACCAGGGCCCAGCTCCTTGGGGGTCTCACGACTCACTTGCTTGTCTTAGGTTTCATTGGCCCTCAGGGTTAGAGGCACCTCTGGCCTGACTTGCAGTATGGGCTCCCTGGAGGGTGGCACCCTGGTCTCTCTCTCCAGCGGGGCTGTTAAAGTGCACCCCAGTCCGTTGGCCATGTCCTCTCCTTGGAATGGCTCTGGTCCCTGTCCCTAGTCCAGGCCCTTCCAGGGTCCATGGCTGTTACCCCTGGGGATCTCTCCCAGAGGGGCAGCTACCAATTGCCCTGCTGTGGTCAAGATCCAGGGCTCAATGGCCTCCCATCACAGCTGCCTGCCTGGCCCCGCCCCTGGGGCCCTGGGTGGTAACACCTGACCCACTTCCCTTCCCCAGTTCCCCAAGGGCACCCTGGTCTGTGGAGCATCTCCCTAGGGCCTAGAGAGCTGCCCAGCAGGAGTCCCCAACGGCTTGAGCTCAGGGGGTTGGGGCTGGGGCTGGAGCTGTGGCTTCTTTTCTGATCAGTCCCCCAGGCTGGGTGCCTGCACACTGCACTCCAGCCGGATGGGCCCAGCTCTTCCTTGGCTGGGTTGGTCAAGCCTGGCCGGCTACCCTATGATCCTCTCCTGAGTCAGGCAAGAGCCCTGCAGGGAGTGATTCTATATCCTTCAGGCAAGGAAAAGTGGTGAAATCATAAATGTGGAGTCTATCCAGACCTAGGTCTTCTCTGGGCCTCAGTTTCCTTATCTATAAAATGGGGAGAGAGTTCTGCAGCAGGGAGGTTATGAGGGTTAAAGACACCATGTGTTTGCTAAGCATTCAGGGGGCGTTGAACAGATTCAGGTCCTCTTTTTGTTCTTTTAGTTTGGGATTCAGAACAACATGTGGGGTTTTCATGGGGCAAGTGACCCATGGGGCAAGCTGCCCCTCTGGGAGAGATCCCCAGGGGTAACAGCCATGGACCCTGGAAGGGCCCAAGACCATTCCTTGAGCAGGGAGCAAGCTGTGCTGGGATCTAGGAGGGAGCTCGCCCCCTGCATTCCTATTCATCTGTCCACCTGGAATACTCGTGCCTGGCTCTGTTCAGCAGTAGTGGAGGAGGAGAGGGCCGGCAGGTGCTTTGAGTTGGGGTCCTTTTTGACTGTGATAAGGAAATGTGATGCATAATACAATAATAATAGCAATGCTCCTTAGTGCTGGTGCTTTACAAGCCTTAATCCTGGGAGCTAAGATCATCTACTGTCCCCCACAATTGAAGATGAGGAAATGCTGTTCAGGCTGATTCCCTACTTTTTTTTTTTTTTT